CAAGGAGAGCAGGTGATTCTACTAGCTGCTCGGGAGAATGCAGTAGCCGCTCCCCTATAGCATCGAACCCTGCCAGGTAAAACAGGTAAAAACTTATCTCCACAGTTTGAGGCCATCCGAACACTTTACGCTCCTACTGCAGTAACTGCATCTTCGTCAGTAGAATCAGGTGAAACAATTTCCTCTGCAGGACCTTCACCCATAAGTTCTGTTTCTGCTTCCCTGGCTGCCACATCATCAACTAGCTTCTCTGTGAGCTTTGCTGTAAGTTCCTCCAGAGCAGTACTATTCTCGGACAAAAACCTTTTTAAAGCATCCTTGCCACGGAAACTTTGACCGTTTAAGTCATACATTGCACCAGCCTTCGTGATGAATTTGTTTTTCAATCCCAAATCAATGATCTCTGATTCCCGACATATACCCTTACCAAACTCAAGCTCTATCTGAACAGTTCTAAATGGAGGGGCAAGTTTGTTCTTCACTATCTTCACTTGAACTTGACTTCCTAAAGTCTGCATGGAAAATTAACTTGTTTCAAAAGGATGCATCAATAACATAGCATCTAATCCTCAAACCGAAAAAAAAAATACACAAAAAAGAACATGTAAATAGGCTATGTTACTCTATTCAGGTAATTTTTTTTATCAGATGACTGGATAGTCACTGAAAGTAGCCTAAATAAAACCAAGATAATTTCAGGCTTCATTAAATGGATACTCGACGACAATTCAAAGTTTCAAATAAGCATAGGTAATGGCTACAAGGCGAACTACCTCACTCCAAAAAGCGAAGTTCAAATTCATGAACAAACTAGGAAAATGGTACCGGTACCTACCTCTTCACCCTTCTTTACAAGTCCTATTCTCCTCATATTAAGGCGCACTGAAGCATAAAACTTCAAAGCATTGCCGCCACAAGTAACTTCAGTTGGCCCACCAAATCCTCCAAAAGTAGAAAGCTTCGCCCTGACCTAAAAATAGACAAATAATTAGAGATGTCTAAGCTCTGAACAATATTCATGAAATGGTGAATATCAAATTATCTTCAGATAAGAAACCCATAAATTTTAGAAAATGAAAGTTTTTGCACAAAAGTTTTCACACAAATCAAGTGAAACCATATAAATTTTATGAAATGAAAAGATTTGTATGTTGCATAATAGTATCACACATAATAGTGAAATCGAACGAGCACTGACACCTGATTTGTAAAGATTAATATTGTCTGTGATAGAGATAAAGAGTGACTCAATTTGCGAAGTGCCTGGCTCATTAGTCTAGCCTGCATTGCCATATGAGCATCACCCATCTCGCCATCAAGTTCACCTTTAGGCACAAGTGCGGCCACCTGTAATCATATAGAAAGCATTCATCTACCGTACAATGGAAAAGACAAACACTGTCTAAAAACATATACAAAAGCCTCATGAGATGATATGAAGGTGAAAAACATTCAATAAGAACAAAAACCAAAGAGAATTTATAAGAACACATCTCAACGAACATGGAAAAGGCTAATGTGAATAAATTGCCCTGAAAACAAAATGTTACTGAAAAGCACCTTACTTACACTGTCAATAACAACAACATCAACTGAACCACTCCGGATTAGAGTGTCTACAAGACTGAGGGCTTGCTCACCACAATCAGGTTGTGATAGAAGCAGATTCTCAGTGTTTACCCCAATAGACTGAGCCAGTGTAGGATCAAGAGCATGCTCAGCATCAACAAAAACACATGTCCCTACATAAATTAAGTTGCATAAGATAAGAAACTCAATATCATGACAGACAGCAGCCAATATAAAAATCACCAACGGAAGATTATTAATATGTTAATTGACATCAACAGATTAACCCGCACCAAAAGATGGTCTCATCAATTCTTCATTAGTAAATGTTGAAACATGAAGAATTTACATTTTACACACCAGTCATACCATTAAATGTGCATCAAACACAATGATTAAAGGTCCAATGCATGGCTCGCTTCAACATTTCAAGCTTAAAGAAAGAGAAATTTACTAATTTGTCTAGAGTAGATCATCAAGAAACTGTAGATGCAGGGGAAGAGACACAGTGATAGATAGCATCGGATATACTTTTTACAGGATAAAAACTCCGAAAACCTGTTCAAATTCCAAGAAACCGAGATGTTTTGGAAACACATTTTAGATGTGTGTGTGTGGAAGTACCGTGTTAACATATAACGAACAACTGAAACAAAGAACGAAAAAGTAAGAGTGCCTTTCGCATATAACAGCCATACCATGTTCTATATGTGTAGTGTAGTACGTTAATTTACCACCAAATAATAGTAAGAAATATCAGTCTAACCTCCTTGCTTCTGTGATTCAGCTATTACATGAAGAGCCAGAGTAGTTTTCCCAGATGCCTCAGGACCGTATATCTCCACAACACGTCCCTGCAAAACTCAATGAATGAAAATCAAAAGAAGCAAATACATATTCCGTGGTGAAGTACAAGGTCAAATCTGTCTCACGTCCTATGCACAAAAACATTCATATGACCAAGACTACAGCTTATAAGCTGCTAAAACGACCCTAAACATTCAGCTGATTACGTAAGCATGATACCTTCGGAAATCCACCAATTCCCAGTGCTATGTCCAAAGAAAAAGAACCCGTAGATACCACTGGGACTTGTCTAGGAGAGACGGACCGACCAAGCCACATTATAGATCCCTTTCCAAATGAGGATGTAATCTGATCAAGAGCTTGCTTCAGGGCTAACTCCTTCTTCGACAGATTCTCATCACAGGAATCACTTCCATCCGACTTAGATTTCTTTCTACCTTCAGAAAGAATTTCAAATTTTTTAACTCGCAAGGAGCACAAACCATGTTGTGTCAACACATAATGGATAATAGCGGTCCTTTTATAAAAAGTTAGTAAATCAATCAGTAAAATTCCACGCCATACAGAATACACTTCATGCAATGCAATCGTTCGGACGAGGCCACAAAGTTATTGAAGTTTACAACACATCTTAATACCATCACACTGTCTCTTTTTCGGTCCAGTTTTCACTCATATTTTCTGATAGCAATCAAATATAGTATTCCTTGGATATACTTAAAACTCCCTTATAAAATGCCCGAATTAATTCGAAACAAATACAAAAAATCTAACATTTCCCGAATGCAACTTATTGAAAGCATCAAGGAAAATAGAATTAAAACTAAAAAACTAAAAGCAAGCACCTTTAGAAGAAAAATTGCAAAACTGAGTAGATGTCCCTAACATTCCTCTCTGATTCACCTGCGAAACAAAGCAAACAAAAAATTAGATGCCGGAAACTTAAAAATCATAATTTTGATTAATTCAGGCACTATTTTTTCTAAACTTTCCTAGTAACCAAACAGAAAGCTACAATATTCAGAAAGAAAAACTTTCGTGTTTCACAAATGAAGAAATGGAAAAAACCTGTGGCGGGAATAGGAAACGTTTCATAGAAAAAGCGTTTCGGAGAAGCCTCGCCATAGGTGACAACCTCCAAGCTTCTCTCCGGAATCAAATTAGTGAAGAGATGAGCGAGGTAAACGGTGACCGGAAAATCAAGTTCGCGAAGCCATGCATATGAAGGCACTGGCAGAGGAAGAGGGAGAAAGAGAGTCTGGGTTTTAGGGTTTTGGGGTTTATTTCCCTCCTTTTTGAAATGCTGGAGTATCGCAGTGAGAAGCGGAAGAGTGTCAGAGTGGAGAGTGGAGACCTGACTGTTGGGCTCACGACCCATTTAAATACAATGGGCCTTTCCCATAATCTCATTTCCAATTTTGTATTTATTTTTATTATAAAAAGCAAAATACAACATTATTATAAACTTCGAATACATGGATAAATGCTCGGATAATGTTCAGCTCTGTAAAGGCCAAGTCATTCCTTCAATAACGACATGACATTATTTCATGGTATTAGTATAAATGAATAATAAATTGACTCACTATACAACTTAGAATGCATTTATGCCTTTTAAGTAGGTTCATTCGGATTTCCTTAAAAACAGAAGTTGAATAAATTGGAAGCCTGATTCCTCCACTTGTTTTTAAATGAACACTACTAAGCAGGGATGGACGTTGGGTGAGTTGGTCAAGTTGGACTTCAACTTGTTAACCAATCTAATGGGCTTGGGTTGACATTATTGAAACCTATTTCCCTCCAAGAAAATTGGCAAACCAACTCAATCAAATCATTAAAAGGCGGGTTGGTTTTGGTGGGTTCAATGGGTTGTGAATTATTTACTTTCTTTCTTATTCCTAAGGTGAGTATGAGGATAAATAATCCAAAATACACATCATAATTAACTTAAACAACAATTAATTTTATGTATATGTCATGTAAATACATTTAGGTTTAAGAATTGTTGATATTCGTGTGAGAATTATTGATATTCATGTGAGTCAATTTCAATCGGATTAAAACTACCTCAACCCAACAAACCAACCTATTGAACGGGTGGTTCGGTTTCAACCCGAAAATGATTTTTTTAAAGTTTACAACCCAGCCCTGCCCAACGAATTTTGATTGAGTTGGTCGGGTTGATCGGTAAACCCACTAAGTGCTCACCCTAATTCCAAAAGTCTTAAAAATAAGCGTGTTTGAAGAGAGTGCGTTTAAAATGACAAAAAAACACATTTAAGAAAAGTGATTTTAGAACCATTAGTAAAAAATAAATGAATCTTGAAAAAACATTTAAAAGGCATTTTCTGAGATTCAAAAATGCATTTCTACCGTTGTGGGAATAATACTTCAGGCGCCTAAAAGAAAAATAATGAAACTTTAGGTATCGGTGCTATCTCGCTAACAACTAAATAATCCACTGGAAGGGAATAAAGGCCACATCTCGAGTACAACTTATATGAAATGAATTGACAAGACTCACCCCCAACAGTGTCCCGTTTCGATTGTAGGGTGTTGAATTTCAACACATCATTGTTTACTGAATTGGGTCACTACGTGTTGGTGAACCCATTCCATATAAGTCATCATACACAAATCATTAATAGATTACTAAAAAACGTTGTCCATCAAATTCCAACATAGGTCAACAGATCACAATGACATCCAAACCATCTTCGTCACATTCCCCCTAAACCAACATGGAAAAGAAAGACCAATGACTCCGACTATCACTCATCATATAGCGTAAGGTTAAAAAATACATTGACCATATAAAACTGCCCAGCAACCATTTTCTATCAAAACAGTCTCAAGGTCCAACAAGAACTCGCAGCTACTAGCCCGCCTTTCCGAAACAATCATATTCTACTGCTGTTTGCATTCTGGAGGCCGCTCACCCTGCTCCCCGACTTGTGCTCTTGCGTTCTTCTACATTTATATAACACAAGTGATCAGTATATGCATAAAATAGTTTATTTTCGACGCAACAAGACTCGTATAAGATCTTCAAGTTATAAACAAATTTAAGCAACTAGGCAACATACCTTGTGACTGGCCGATGTCTGCATCAGAATCAATTCCACAAAAAACAATAACCGTCAGTTCAAACTACAATAATTACAAGGAAGAGAAAAATGCAAGCGGAGACAGATGATCCAAATTCTACAAACACTGCACCTTCTTTTTGGTTTTGCCTTCATCTTCATCGTCTTCATCCTCCTCGTCTTCTTCGTCCTCATCTTCTTCCTCTTCGTCATCTTCCTCTTCGTCGTCTTCATCTTCGTCTTCCAAGTCACCAAAATCTTCTCCCTCAATAGCCTCTCCAGTAAACCATGAAACAGCATGAGGGATGATCTTATCTCGAATGGTAGACCTGCACAAAAATGAGTGAGAAAAAAAACAATTTAAACAACGCACTGAATTAGAAAATTACCAAAATATGCAGCACTAGTAACAAACTCAGAAATCCGTCTACGGGTAGAAGTTATAAACTCACCCAATGTCATAATCTTGTTCCATCTGGTTTTGGAGTTCCTCAGCCTGTTGAAAAAGTGGTACAAATAAGAAACTACAAAAAAATAAGCCTTAAAGACAAACAAAGAGTAAAGAAGAGAGTGTTACAGCATCTTCATCAATATCTTCGTCATCCTCAGGGACTTGAGGTGGACTGAAAAAGTTGAAGAAACTTTCGCAATTTTCAGTTCTAGTTATTGGCTTAGCATTCTTAGATCCCTTCTTAGGCTTCTTCTTAAGAAGCTTCTGTGTCAAGCATTTAGCAGGATACCATTCAATCTCGGTCCTACAAACCACCAGGTAGCAGATATTGTAAGTATGTTCAAACAACCACGTATAAGTCACCTTGGTAACAGAAGTATAAACTAAGAAACCGAACTATTTAGCACAAGGCAAGGCGGGAACCGAACTTACCCTATTGCTTTCTCGAGAATGGGTTCATCTTCATCAATCATGTGGTAAGTCTTTGTCAAGACAGAGTTCTTAAAAAAGGGATTGGTGTCAAAGTAGAACTCCAGTTTGAATCCCTTAGGGTTATCTATCCTAAACCACTTGATGTCTCTAAGATATTTAAGAGCACCTTCATCACGCTCAGATATCTGATGATAGGAAAATAAATAAGAAACAATTGAGCTGACAACAACAGTATAATTATAAACATCAAATATGAGAACTTTATGCACAAATAACCACCTCCTCAGCTAGCACTTCGTTGTTTTTCATTGCATTGAGCCAGAAATCAGGCACTCCTTTTTCTGCAAAATAAATACGCAAACAAAAGAATTAAAATTTGCCAACAATAAATAAAACCTATATAGGTTCTGACTCCTGAATATCTATCAAGAGTATACCTTCGGAATCTTTACCCTCTTCATCTGTTGCTGCTTCATTTGTAACGCCTTCAGCTTCAACAACACCATTTACGATCTCATATCTCTGCAGAGTGATCAGTACAAATTATTTTAAAACCAAATACATACAAAGAAATGGAGTTTTACTCCTCATGCACAATATAGTAAAAGACCTATAAGCAAAACAGAACCTAAAATGCAGTAAAAAATAAGATCAATCACACTAACACAGGCTACTGGTGCCACTTCTACCTCGCTCAAGTAGAGTTGTGACAAGCCACTAAACCACATAGACGTACAGAATCCACATAAAGCAGCAAGGATGAACTATTCATGTTCCAATATAAGATACATAATCAGTGCGGTATGTAGAACAGTAGAATACCTTGGTATACAAAGGTTGATACAATTTCTGATACTTGGCTTCGAGAGCTGCTCTCTCCTCGAAAAACTTTGCCTCAAGTTCATCATGTTGGGTCTGCAAGTAAAGAAAATCTCAGGGTGTTTCACGCTCGGGGTAATATACACACTTTTTTTCATATCCCATCACGTAATACTAAAACAGTGCTCAAGAAGTTGCACTCAACAAACAACACCATCAGTTCATGAGATATCAACTCCAACCAATTTGTCAATTAAAATGAACATTTTGCACAAACCCAAGTAAAACGTCAACCAAAACTCCAATTGTAAAAAATTGTTAAACTATAATATGTAGCGGAAATCCGTCATATCAATCAAAATTATGCTAACTAAATCAAATTATAAATGATATAAGGGTTTAATCTTATCAATCAGTTAATCAAATAAAGTATGTAAAGACATGAAACTATGAGTAATCCAGTATATCAAAGCACTAAACTACAAGCTTCTGAGCGAGAGAGAATCATGCCTGGATCTCTCTAAGAACATCTACGCGCTTTCTGACAACAGGCGATAGGCTCTCGAGGATATCAGAGTGCTGCCCGGCCAGACTCTCTATCTTATTCTGCAAAACACACAAGAAAAACAAACTCCATAAGCCAATCAAACACTTAACTTCTTTGTTCTAACAAACAGACTGAAATTCAATCAAACGATAAAATTGAAATGTCCTATAGTAACAGAATAATAATCTGTTTGGTTGCCGAGAAAATTGAATACTGACTTTGAGAGCATTGACGAGGCCGGCTCGATCCACGTCGTTGAGAGCTACAGAAACAAAACAAAAAAATAAACAGAAGCCGAGTAAGATCACCGCATCGGATAATACAAACATTAGAAAGTTAGAGAGAGGGGAAGAGAGAAAGAGAGTACCACCAGAGGAGAGATCGGACATGTTGATGTTATCCTTGTCGCTGCTCATTCCGATTTGCAGAGAGAGGGAGGGAGGAGGAGGAAGAAGAAGGCGGCAAAGCTAAAACCCTAGAAGCGGTGGGAGGGGGAGGAAAGGGTAATGGGGATTTCAAAACGTGGCCTCCGTTAAATCCTCTCTCCCCCTTTAAAAACCTAACCCCTTCTCTCTCCTCTCTCTCGGTATTATTCTGGATGGTAGTGCTGATCTGTCCAAAATTTAAAATATTTCTAATTTTATTGTTTACATTGGGCTTGATTTGGTGGCAATAAGGCCCAAAATTATGTTTTATCTCCTTTCTTCTAAGAATGTGGTTCGAAAATTTTGAACTTAGGATCATCTGTGACAATAGTATAAAATCTGGAAATGTTGGGTCGATTGAGGAAATATTCACTAAGTGTTTATACTTGTATAAGAGTAACGTTCTTTTTTCAAATATGCGGTATCTTGCTGCGTTGGATCGTCAGTCTTGAACCAAACGATTAAACAAAATCATTAGCTAATTAATAATTCCATACATAGTTGGAAGTGATTTTAAAATGATTGAAAATATTTTGGGATCCAAAAGCACTTGAAATGATTCATGCAAGAAACACCAGTGATGTGCTTCTTGTGGGAAGCATTTCAAATGCTTTTTCATGATCTACTTGCATTTTTTTTAAAGATTGGTTCAAAAACATTTCATCAAAAGGCTTTCAACTATTTTAAAAACACTTCCAAACGAGCCCATACGTTACCAATTACTTGTGCTTTTATGTTAAAAAGATTTTTTTGGCATGTTTTAACGTTCAGCTATATCATGGATGGCATGTTTGCTTACAAAAATGTATTGAGAAAATTTCTAATAGCGTGATGCGTTTGAAAGAAAAAGTTAAAATCATCTAGGTCATAGAAGCATTTTCCGAATAAGTACTTGTCATATGCTTCTTCAAGAAGCACTTGTGTTTCAATAAAAAATTTGATGTACTTCTAGCAAAGCTGCAAAAGTGCTTCCTACAAAAGCAATCCCAAACTAGCCTCAATTATCTTTGCATTTTCACCTAGAAAAATAGAAAATGACAACGATGATGAGGTGATACCAAGAACAAGCTTGAAGGTCATTACACAAACTAAACAAAATCAAACATTCAATACAATAATATTCTGGAACACTATTTAGATAGCACTTATGCCTACATCTGAAGTTAAGTACTTGTTATCTCTTCACAAGCCGTTTAGAATTGACCGATACCAAGCCGCTTATCCTGCAATCCAACATGAAAGATTGTTTCTTGCAACCCCTCTTGCCTTAAAAATGATACAAAGAAACGACCTTATAAATTTTGGGAAATGGAAGATCTTGGGCCGTCTTAACCATCGTTTTCAGTTCTTTCCGCATCTTTCCCTTGATCACCACTAGCTGCTGGCTTCTCAGGAGTCACGAACCGTCCACTCATAGGATCAACAGGTCGTGTGTCACGTGGCCCTCCCTTACGTCCCATTGCCACCATCGGTGGTGGAGGCAACAGCCCTGCTCTGAAAAGAATGCGCTGCACGGGATCTGAAGGCTGAGCTCCTACAGATAGCCAATACCTGCAAAAAGAGTGAACAAAAATTTATCGGATACAGTATACAAACCTAATTTCAAAACACAAGAAACTTTAGCAGCTAATACTCTAGCAAAAGAAAACTAAAATTCGACAGGAGACATTAACTATCTCATAAGCCTCCTAGAAAAAGTTGTTTCGGCTTCTCAGTATTTCAAAAGAATTCCTTAACTTTCGACTTAAAGTAGCCACAGAATTACAATAAGCACAGAATCAAGCACCTCCATGATTTTTTTTTGGACGAAAGCAACTCCATGATTGAGATATAGATAACTGACAATAATTTCCACAAACATGGTCCATTGATCAAAATGTGACAACTTTTCAGTGAGCACTGAGCACATATGCTCCATATGTATACAACAACAACAACAAAGCCTTTTCTCGAAAAACATCTAGCCTCCGTCATCATTAGCGGGTCAAGATTTACGCGTGATAAACATGCACACGGCACACCCTTCAGTTCTGGCACATAAGCCATTACAAGTTAGGGTCGAGCGATAATTTGTATATGCTGATATGCATGAGGAACATTAAGAAGCATATAATCAACTACATCACAACTTCCCAAAGTTAAAACTAAAAACATTGATTTTGATTCTTGAATAACTGGGGACAAAAAAATCGAATTTTAACTGATAAACAAGTACCACTACAGGCAATTCACGGATAATTAAACATAGGAAATGAGAATTGCCGAAAGACACTTACTTCACTCTTTCAAAGTTCATACCCATTCGTTTTCCACCATCTTGGCCTGTAAAATTCCATAAACATTGCAGAGCATTAGCATATCATTAACTATAGTACTCAGATGACAAAAAGCCCAAAACTTTCTCAGACTATTCACATTCAAAATCTGGTAGACATAATTTTCAAACATTTTCTTCGCAGCCAAACACCATCCATCTGAATTTTGCACAAAATTCAGTAAATTCTGCTTTACCAATATATATATGCTACTTCCATTAAACAAATCCCAATCAGAAACTCGAAAATGTTTGATAAAAAAAAAACTATAAATTACGAAATCAAATACAAAGACAAAGAAGCGAGAGAAGACCTGGCAAGGGATTGTAGTAGCCCAAGACTTCGAGGTGCTTGCCGTCTCTCGGAGATCGGCTATCGGCCGCCATGACGCGATAAAACGGCCTGTTTTTGCATCCGAATCTCGCCAATCGGATCCTGACCACCATTTTCTCAGCTCCACCAAACGATCGCCTGGGAAAATTCAGTAAGTCCACACTGCGCTCATCTGCTTTCTAGGGTTTAAGGAACTGAGAATTAGAAAGTTTAGGATTCGTATTCTATTTTGTAATATCTATTTTCACGATTCAAGTGTTTATTTTTAGATATTCTCTCAAATATAATAACTACGAACGTTACTCAAATTCGAAATTATATAACCGTTAGATTAAAAGATAATTATTTTAGTATTAAATGAAAAATCGTATTTGACATATCCCGTCCCGAATGAGAGCATGATGGCCGTCACGTGAGAGTGACGTAACCATTTACACAGTTCAGAAGCTTTAAAAATACAATTACTAAGATGTAACACCCGATGATGAGTCTTACTTTTGTGAATTCTGTCAGAACACCGTTGGATTCCTCGTGGCTACCAAAGCTCTACTATCTTGAACTTGGAGGGGCGCAAAACAAAGTTGAGTGGGTCAGTAAAACAAAGTTTTTCGAAAATCATCTCATTATCAAAACGCTAACCTCTCGCTGTAAAACCCGTATACTTTCCCAGAAATATGTAATACGTATACTTGTCTCAAAACCATACTTAGAAGTAGTGATATGTGAATTATATGCCATGCCAAAAAATATATATATCTCATCAAATCATATAAGTAACTTATGCAAAATAATATGTCAACCGGATCCACCTATAGTGGCCTGTACGGCTGAATCTATAGCTCATAATCAATCTCATCAATCTTATCTAGCCGGAGTCATCGCAAGTGACATGTACGGCACTACACTGCGCACGAGTCATAACCCTTGAAAAGGTCTATGCGACTGAACTGGGTGTAATATAGTTATGCTCACGCTATCCTCTCCTGATAGCTATGCGATAAATCGCTAGTCACCTACGAGTCGGAACCACCTCTAATGGTCTGTACGACATACACCTAAATTGGATCCAATTGTGAGCATATGGTGCGGGGGTGACTAAATATATTTATAGGCCTGAATCATCTCTACTAAATCACAATCACCCTAGTGCAGGTTTATGAGCTTTCAACCATATCAACTCAACAATTACATAATTTAATAACTTACCTGGCACTTACTTGTGCGTCCGCAGCACCAATCATGCATGTATGCAATTACTAATGCATAAATAATTAAACATATATTTTGCATGGCATTTCATATTGCATTACATATCACATTTCACTTAAATTGATTTCCTGGGAAAAAAATCTCATTTATATAGATATATACGGAAAACAAAACGGCCTATTCACCTGGAGTTCGCCCTACAACTCCCTAGCACAACACATCAAGGCGTCATGACGATCGGCGCCTAGAACAATCATCAAATCAAACCTCAAAAATCATATCGATAAAATATATAACTTATATAAAACATGTCACTATGTAGTTCGATCCGGAAGATCTGTAACTCAGATTTCCAATCCATAACTTCCAGAGGTCCACAATATATCTCTAGAACAATATCCTAAAATTTTATTACCATCCAACGGTCGGATCTCCGTCCATTGCCAAAACCAAGTGACGTTTAACATTCTATCTTATGAACTTACAACTCAAATTCCGGAAGATCTGTAAATCGGATTCCCAATCCATAAGTTCCTATAATCCTCAAATATTACGTATTACAACGTATCAAAGTTTGGTGACGATCCAACAGTCGGATCGTCAATTCACATTTTCACCTAGCCACGAATCATAACGAACTTAGGTTCAATTACTCAATTTACGTCAATCAATTATCAAAACTGAACCTAGAACACTAAACACATGCTAAGAATGACATTGGTGGGCCACTGGTCACGCGCCGCCGCACGGGCCGCTGCAGGTGGCGGTCGGCCGCCCCGGCTCGCCGAAAAATCCAACTATCTCCAAAAATTACCAAAATTTATAGAAATGAAGATCTCAATGAGTAGAGTAAACTTTATACATGAGGCTAAGGCCAATTTGACCGGGAAAGGCTCCAATTCCATCAAACCCGTGAAAAACCATAGAAATGGGTGTTTTCAATTCGACCCCCAAAACCACTCTGATGCTCCAACTAATGCTTGGGCTTTGTTCCAGGTCCTAAGAGAATGCTAATGGTGTTAGTAATTGAAAGAAAACGTTTCAAGAGTTGAAGAATTTGTACACTAAGCCACCGCACACACCGTACGATTTCAACCAATTTCAAACCCAAATTCTTTTATTTTTGGGGTGTAATAGGAAGAGGGAAGATCATAGAGGGTTTTCCAATTGAAGTAACTCACCGGAAAAGTGAAGAAATTTCGACGGAAATTGGTGGAAAACCCATCGGGTCGCGCGGGTCATGGGTTGAAAACCCATTTCTGTTCTTCTTCCTCCGCTTCTCGCCCTCTCTCCTTTCCTCATTTCCCCTTCTCTGATTGGCCAGAAGCCTTTCTCTCTTCTCCCCATTCGCCCAACTTCTTTCCTTTCTCTCCCAGAGCTGTCTTCTTCTTCCTTCTGGCTGGGCAGTTTTGCCCAATCCTCATTCTTCTTCTTTCTTCACCAGTCACGCACACACTTACACACACAAAACCTTCCTTTTTTTTTGCTTTCCCTTACATTCAAGCCATCCATTTCAGATTTCCTTTAATCTGGGCCATCCAAATGGCACACCAAATTTTTATAATAAAATTCATAAAATGCTCAAACTTCAAACTTTAGAATCTTTTTCGTTATAACTCCAAATCACGAACCGCCTGCGCCCACACTTCCGTAGCGACGAGTACTACAAGGATATGTCAAGAAAACAGATCTTAGATGGCACGACACAACGATTAACCTCGAATAATGCGCGTGCCTCAAAGGGCATTTTTTGTAAAATCCTTTATTAAAACTTTAAAAACTCTTAAAATCAGGGACGGGCTGTGACAGTATTCATCAATAAACTTTACTACAAAAAAATATTTTAATAGTTTTTTATTTATCTAATTTTTTAAAAAGATGATCTATAAATAATAAATCAAAAAATAAATGATTAGATTTAAAAATAAAGCTACGAAATATATCATACAAAATAGGTGTCTAATGTGTGTTAAAAAATAAATATCCCCTCAATGGTAACCCATTTTGAAAAAGCTAAAAGCAAAATGTATTTGCCAACTAAAAATGTTTGTGACATCGTTTAGAAATTTTTTTTATATAAGTACTTTCTAGATAAGTACTTAGGTCTCGTTATGAATTTATAGAAAATATTTTTGTTCATTTCAGAAAAAAGAAATTTGTTTATGAACATTATTGAGGTATGCTTATAATAAATATGACAAATTTTTATTAAAATTTCAAGTAATTCTAAAATACTTAAGTTATTCCTGAAAAATCATTTACCAAGTGCTTTTATAAAAAGTGCTTCGACCCATAAGCCGTTTTAAGGTTTTCCTATCAAATGTTATTCTTAAGGTTTTTGAAGTGTCGAACAAATTCTTAACTTGGTTCACTGAAAAAACAAAAAAAACAAAAAAAAAAAAACTCTTAACTAGCCATTTGGGCCGGAAGTATCGAGTGTACACCCGGCCCATGACCCGGTGACATGATGAAGGCGGTTAACGCTTATCCGCTGAATATCTGAACGAGATTTCAAAACCCTCATGGATCGTTAGGGTTTCTGACTAAAAGAACTCGAATTTCTCCTGTAAGTTGGTTAACAATGGAGGAAAACAAAATCGAAACCGAAAGGCCCTCCCAAACTCCAATCGTTTTCCCTCCTCGCCGTCGAAGGCACCTCAACAGCGGAACGTACCGTACATTGGTTCGAATATTCTCTCACTTCGACGAGTCCCAGCATTTAGTTTCCGATCAAAATGTACCTCAAGAGCTTAATCGAGGTATTTGAATTTTCACAGCTCAGTCTTTAATTTCTGTTGAATTACTGAGAAAATGAATTTTATTAGTTGAATTTGAATTGAATTGTTTATCATTTGGTTGCTCGAAACCCAAAAGTGAAAGATTGGTTTTTGGCGATTGGAATGTTTAGGTTTAGTTGCAAAGTTTTGGTTTTCTTTAATTAAGGACCTAACTTTAGTTCTAATTGTGTTTTTTTGTTCTGATTTTGATGTTCTTGATTTTGTATTAAGATAATGGCAACAACGAATCGGTGCAAGAAGCTGAAAAGGAAGTGCCGGGGAATGTTGAATTGGTTGGCCCTGACGGTGCGAAGGGCAGAGTGGCTGATGAGTGTTGTAATGGTAATGGTTTTCGAGAAAGGATAGAGCAGATAGAGAGTTTACTGAGCGTGGAAGAAAATGAGGATTTTTCAGGACTGGAAGACACGATAGGCATAGAAAATATTCTTGCCATTGATTTAAAAGATATGGGGTATTTTCCTGAGCAAATGCTGGTGGATGAGCCAGAGTTGGTTGTGAAAGGGAATTGTGAACCCTCCGCCGCATCATTGGACCAGAACCAGAATGGCGGTGATAAGGCTGCATTGTTGACTAACGAAGAAGAACATGTAGAAACTGTGACATCTCAAGATTCGGTTCAAATGGTTTCTGTAAGCCATGGTTCATCTTTAAAAACTGTTGAGTTGACTGAAAGTTTAAATCCAAGAGAGTCTACTGAACAGAAACATTCCTTGTCAAAGACTAGCGCATTGGATGTAGAGCCTATAATGCAACTGGAATCAATGGAACTACAGACTCCTGTTTCTGCCGAGGGTGCGATTGAATTGTCTATTCCAATTACTGAAGTTGGAGCGATTAAGGAGACAGAAATCTTTAGTCAAAATGTCCCTGAAGCCTTTGATTTTTCTTTGAATAAAGATATGGTTGCTGAAGCTTCAAAGCCTACTGATTATAGCAAAGACAAAAGTTTGTTACCAGAAACTAATTCCTTAGAAGTAGTACTTGAAATGCCTGAGAAGTTTAAGGAAACGGAGAAACCAGTTTGTGACATAACGGCAATGAGTTCTACCAACCATACAGATGATGGAGATATTGAAGAGGGAGAAATTTCTGGTGACGATGGGATGGATGGCAGACCAAGTGATGAGCTTTTGCAAGATACAGTAGTACTTGGGGAACAGAAGGTTCACAAGGGGCAGATATCTAAAGATGTAATTGATAGAAAAGAGCAGCTTTGCGAGGAAGTAAATTACAAGGATTTTGGTTCCAGTTCATTTCTGGTGGACGTGGTTGAGGATGGAAAAATTGGCAGAGGGGTGGAACTCAGGGAAAGTAGAAGGACTGATATGGTTTGTAGACCGGGGGTTGTTCAGGGTCAAAATGGAAGTGACTCCCATCCTTTGCTAGATGGTGGAAGAATTGAAATGAAAGATAATCGAGTTGAAATGGGTGTTGACTGGTCTGGAGCTGGAAACCATGGAACCGCGTCTGAAGAAAAGGTATTGTTTCACTTGTATACTCTTTTTCCCCTATGATTGCATACATGTGGATGGTTTTTGTTTCATTGTTGTTTCATTGTTGTATACTCGTACTGTTGTAGCTGTTTGAATGCTTCATTCTCTAGACCTTGTATGCAATTCAATGAGTATTTTTAATGCTGGATCGTCATCAAAATTTTGATCCATATGTTACTGGTCTCTTTTTTATTGTGTGCAGTGGGATGCTGGTGCCTGTAACAAAAGAAAGCGCGGTCCTCCAAATAAGGAAAAGAAAGAAAGGAAGAAGGTATTTTGCAGTTGTTACTTTGTTTCAAAGAGATCTTATTGTTATATTCGTAAGAACTCGTCCTGACGCATTCCAATACCTTGTTGGCTTATATAAATATCTCCTTTATGAACAACGCATTGTACAGGCAAAAGAACGAAAGAAACGAGCAGAGAAGAACAGGGAACTTGGTGTTAAAAGGCTGAAACTGCAACCATTACAAAAACCAAAGCCTGTAGCATATTGCCGCCATTACCTGAACGGAAAGTGCAATCTGGTATGTATTGTGTTCTCAGTTATATCATTTGTTTTTTCATTATACTGAATGTTTAACTGACTAGAGTTTCACTTTACGAATCTCCTAGAGCAGGGTGCATTCTTGTTGCTTATTGCTTATTGACTTATTGTTATCATATTTTATCTTTGTTTAACAGGGTGACCAGTGCAAGTATTCACATGATACAGTGCCGTTAACAAAATCCACGGTACGCCCACTTTGACTGTGTTTTTAATACGCCCTATTTGCTAAGCCACTGCCCTTTTGAAGATACATGAAAGGTCTACTGAATTTTCCTTATTTTCTATTCTGGTGCTTCAGCCCTGTGGCAAATTTGCACGGAATGAGTGCATGAAAGGGGATGACTGCGGATATGATCATGACCTCTCTAAGTATCTCTGTCACCATTTCAAAGACAATGGTTTCTGCGGCAGAGGTGATAGTTGTCTGTTTTCACACAAGGTAAACTTTGTCTTTATAATCTGTTAATTTCAGTCACTTGCAATGTAATGGAAAGGTATATCATTACACTATGTTACATCTTTATCTTTGCCAGCTATCTATCCTGAATAGTTATCACTAGAGCTTACCTAGTACATTTGCTGCTAAATTAAGTTTAATCGCTAATCAAGTTTACAATGTTTCTCAGATGCCATCCAAGGAAGAGAGTGAAACTACTGCTTGTAAACCTGAATTGAAGCCTCCCATGGTACAGAGTAATTCCAGGTCTCAACAAGTAAACATCGGTGGTGCATCCCAGCAGAATGTCCATGCCTTGGGCTTCTCAACGGGAATCCATTCTCGCAATAATACTAAACAGAATGTGACGGAGAATGTTTTGAAGAAACCTGAACTAGCTACCAAAGGGATTAGCTTTCCCTCTGTTGAGAACTCATCATTGGTTCATTCTAGTATGTCTAAGCAAGGAGGCGTAACCCCTGATAGGAATACGGGTACCAAAGCTGGGAGCCAAATAGATCAAAGTCCATTCAGTTCCATTCAAAATTCCAATGAGATTTTAAAGAGAACACCAGTAACCACTCCTAAAGGAATAAATTTTTTATCATTTGCCAAGGCTTCACCAGATGCTGCAAGAGGTAAAAGCCAAGTCAGCCATCAGACCAGCCCAGGTGTGTCAGAGACTGTACAAAACTCAAATGGGATGCTAAAGTCTGATAAAACAGCAGCATCGCTGGGAACAAGCTTTAATCCTTTTGGGAAATGTTCGGTAGCTAGTCCTACTGGTGGTCAAAACTTGAATGCGATGCTACAGGTTAATCTACCGGCAGCATCGCACAGAACAAACTTTAATCCTTTTGGGAACTCTTCGCTAGCTGGTTCTGGTAGTGACCAAAACTTGAAAGGCATTCAACCAGCAGAATCGCAGGGGACAAGCTTTAATCCTTTCCGGAAATCTTCGGTAACTAGTTCTAGTAGCGACCAGAACTTGAATGGGATGCTACAGAATAATCAACCAGCAGCATCGCAGGGAACAAGCTTTAATCCTTTCGGGAAATCTTCTGTAACTAGTTTTAGTAGTGACCAAAACTTGAGAGGGATTCTACAGGCTCATCAACCGTCAGCATCGCAGGGAACAAGCCTTAATCCTTTCGAGAAATCTTCGGTATCTAGTTCTAGTACAGTAAATCCAGATAGCTTGACTTCCTGCTGGGGTAATGGTAGCAATAGGGATTCCCGTGAGAGTCAAAATACAGCTGATAAACCCCAAAATTCAAGTGCGGTCTCATTGAGGCTGCCACCTTCTCCACTTACTTCAGGTCAATCTTCAGATCATGTAGCATCCAAGTTTTGTAAAGGTACAGCAAATTCATTCCAGAGGGGACTCTTTTCTACCCTAGCATTTGCAGCGAAGTATAGAGCTCAAAACATGAACCAGTCAATTGGTTCAACTGATACTCAAGTCGATAAAGGAAACTAGAATAGCAGCATCAGCTACAGGTTCGCAGAATGATTCAGCAAAAGCTTTTGAAATTTTGGATTTCTTGTCTCATATTGGTAGTAAAACCAACCGGTGAGTGTGTTGCATGGTGTTAAACAGTGAATGGCTCTGTAGACAGGATTGAGTTGCAAGAAGGGGATACTGCTGCCAGAACTGAGATTGTTGTTTGTTCAGATTGGTCAAATATACCGTGAAATATAGAAAGGTAGTAGGCTAGGCGGCATCTCACGTGCTCTTAGTCTGCACAAGTAGTAAGTCATTCGTACAAATTCAGCTGTCAACAAGGTACAGTTTGCATTTTTTCAAATATCGATGTAAGTAATATTTCCTTACATGTTCTTGAAGAGGTAGTAATTTGGCACTGTGGTTTAACAGGTAAAGGCTTCTTTTAATTTTATGTTGTTTCTATTTCTTTATTAAAAGTAAATTCAAGGAATTTGATGGTTCCAAATATAATGGATTTTGGCGACTCAGGATCTTCTTCATTGAATTAATTTCATCCTGGCCAAATTTTGTAAATCAATACTCGATGAATACCAATCTCATGTGGCTGCATTCTTAAAGTTGAGTTCCCACTCCCTAGCAATTTCTTTAGTTATTTGCTTCTTCGGTTGCAACTTTGTTCTTGTTGCTTTCATGCTTCGGTTTAGTAAAAACCTAAAGTCTTATGTGCTATATTTGTGTAAAACAGATGTTCGTGATAACATTCTTTTGCATCACTCTGGAAAAGTGGAAATCCACCCACTTTCTGCCACTGCTGGAAAACAGATCGTTTAGGTATCGGATTTACTTACTAATCTGCTGCTCTTTTCTAATAATCCAAGGAGTCGTACTATACATGAACGTGTAGCATACATTGCATTTTAAGTGACTCAGATCGACTCGCTAAATTCTCTTAGACCCTTGAATTTCGGCATGTTATTGCTGTAAGATCATCCAGCACGTAACTTGGGCTAGTCAAATTACGCGGGAACTTTTGTAATGCAGTAGCTATTGGATTGTATGTAAGATATTTGGCGCTATTGTGTTGTTAACTTATTTAATCTTCAGATGTTAGACTAAACATATTGCAACTTTGTTAATCTTAGGCTTATTATACAAAATAGTCCCTGAGATTTGCATGATCAATAGAAATGGTGTCTAATATTGTACACCATCCATGATTTTGGTCATTACGTTAAAAACTCTTTGGGCAATTTTCAAAGTTCCGTAACTCAATTGATTTTTAACCAAATTCAACCCATAATATATCAAAATGAAGATAAGAAAGTGTAGAACAAGATTATATCTATTTGGAAGCCCAATGATTGACAGAGATGGTCGGAAAATAGCCTTAAAGGTGACTGGTCCGAGGGAAAACTGGAAAACTCGTCGGAAACTGGGTAAATTTTAAACGTTCATAACTTCTTCAATACTCAACAAAATCGAGTGATTCAAAAACGAAAATCATACTTCTTGACGAGACGAAGAGAATGGTATCTTTTTCGGAGGCTAACTTGCCGTGGTTTGGTCGAACAACGGCGCGAAGGTGGATAACCATTTTCAAGTTAGCCACTTTTGAGCAGTTTTCCGGCCAAACCACGGTGAGTTAGCAATCAAGAAAGATGCCATTCTCTTCGTCTCGTCGAGAAGTATGATTTTCGTTTTGAATCACTCGATTTCATTGAGTATTGAAGAAGTTATGAACGTTTAAAGTTTACCCAGTTTCCGGTGAATTTTCTAGTTTTCCCGTGGACCAGTCACCTTGCAGGCTATTTTCTGGCCATCTCCGGCAATCATTGGGCTTCCAAATAGGTATAATCTTGTTCTACATTTTCTTATCTTCATTTTGATATATTATGGGTTGAATTTGGTTAAGAATTGATTGAGTTACGAAACTTGAAAATTGCCCAAAGGGTTTTTAACGGAATGACCAAAATCATGGATGGTGGACAATCTTAGAGACCATTTCAAGTGTTTTTTCGGATTCACCTGCATTTTTACTAAGAATTGGATTCAAAAATATTTTTACAAAAAGTGTTTTTAGTCATTTTAAAAATACTTTCAAACGATTTATAATATATATATATATATATATATAATGGTCTTTTGCTATATTGCAAATAAATTACACATCAGAAAAACATTTTAGGTTGTCTTCTGCTATAACGGAAATATTTTATTAAAATTAAAGTGTTTTAATAACATTTTACTAAATAAATAAAGTAAATACACTTTTAAGTGTTTTAATAACATGTTACCAAATAAATAAAGTAAATAAACACTTTAAAATTTAAAAGAAAATTCATTAACTTCATTCACTCAACGGCACATGATGCTTTGAATGAATGACGTTTATGGAAATTCAAGTGACATTAGTAGAGCTTTATATTTGGCAAATAAAGACAAACAACTGATTGAATGCAAATGAGAAAAATAAACAAAAGTGACCGAATAATCATGACGATTTAAACTATCGAAAGAATATCTAACAATCAAGGAATTGCCACGTAATCTTCTAATGGAGTCCGAAGATGGATCGATTTCATTGATTCAATTACAGACAAGGTTCTAAAATACGCTAGTCGGGCGACGGGCTGGGGCCTAGTGCCTAGCTGGCTAGGCAGGGCCTAGGTAGGCGCTTGGGCAGATTTAAGTAAATCTATTATATTTCATGTAAATAAATGTGTTTATACTTAAAATATATGTAATTACATCATAACTACAACATATAATGACATATATATATATATACATATATATATATATACATATATATATATATATGAAGTATTGGAATGTAATGAAAACATGGGAAACTAGCATATAAAATGTGTTCATTTAAGTATCCAACAAGTCATTTACAATTTATTAAAAAAATAAAATGCAAAATGAAAGGTTTTTTTTTTTTTTTATCTAAGTTGGTCGCAACCTAGGCGAGTCTAAGTGGGTTAGGCAGGTCTAAGCGGGCTAGGCGGGTGCCTAAACGGTTTAGGTGGGCGCCTCAACAGGTCTAGGTACCATTTCTTAATTTTTAAATACCTAGACATTAATCGAGGCGGTGGCCAGCCGCCTAACTCCTAGGCGGTGCTAGGCAGGGATTTTTAGAACAGTGATTACTGGGAATGGTTTTAAACTAATTTTTGGACATGTTAAAGGTAGTGATAATACATTAGCTGATATTTTATCAAGACTAATTCATTGGACATGAATGAAAGATCATGGACCATCATCCTCAAATAGCATATGACCACAAGGCATAAGAGAACCTTTCAGTACCATAATGATGCATCATGGACCTCCATCATTCAGGGGATTCTAAAATAGCATAAGTAGACCAACATCACCACCAATACCTACCTTAACTTTATTGGCCTTGTAGTTGAAAGAATTAAAATCCTACTATGAGGCATAGGTCAAAGGTATCAGGACTCACTAATAAGTGAAGGGTTATCTTAGATAACTTTTGGAATGTTCAAATTAAGCAACCAAGTATGAGCTTAGGTCATACAAAATTAATTAGAGATTTAAAGCAAGAGTTTGATAGTTTAATTTTAATTTTCATCAAAGCCAACACCATATTCATTCTCTTGAACACAACATCCAAACCCTTTTCTGGAGATCATGAGGCATTAATTATCCAATTCACCAAAATAAACCAAGATGCAGTGGCAAGTAACACCTTGAAAAGAGAATTGAAAATTGAAAATGATAAGTAACACATTGAAAAGAGAAATGAAAACGACAAGTAACACCTTAAAAAGAGAATTAAAAATTGGCACATAATATGATCAGCATGATAATAAAGAGAAAGAAGTTATTGAACCCATTAATAAAGAACAAGTGGCTAATGAGCCCGTTAAAGAGAGATAGATTAAGATTAAGCTTTTAAAAGGAGATGCTGAAATGGAGCAGCATCAGGCAAGCAAAGAAAAACAGAAATATGAAAGATTTATTAGGACTATACCATTAGACTTAAAAAAAGATGATATCTTATTAGAAGGAATTTCAACAGCAAAATTAAGAATAATGTCCATAGATATGGAATATAAGATCTTGAACACAACATCACAGTTCATGAAAGAACTGCAATCACAATTACAATGTGCTTTGTATAATGCCAATAGATATGTAGTATGAGATTTTAAACAAAGCATCACAGTTCATGTAAGAACTGCAATTACAATTACAATGTGCTATATATCTATCCATCTTTGATCCCAAATCAGAGATAGATATTATTACAAAGATATCTCCACCATATCTTTGTGATAGTACATAGAGTTGTATTTGTAAATCAAAAGTTAGCATAGAGTTGAATATCAGAGTGCGGAACAAACAAAACCATAAACTAATAGAAATATTATTAAACAAATTGAATGCCGAAACGGCTACAAAAACCCTAACAAGCTACATTGTGAATAACTTAATTTCGAATGAAAGCACTCTATTTATAATAAACTAACCCTAAACCCTAATGCTAACGGGCTAAGCCCAGAAAACCAAATATTAAAGTAAACCTAAATACTAATATTTTCCAACACCCCCCGTCAAACTCATGGCGGTATACGACATGGGTTTGCAAACAAGCAGATGCGGACTGACTCCGTTAGGCGGACAGACAGACAGGCAGGCTCCACCGCAACGCGGACAGACAAACAGGCAGGCTCCGCAACGCGGACAGACAGACAGGCAGGTATGCAAACTTGACTTGACTTGACTTGCGAACTGGTGAACTTGCGAACTTGACTTAACTTGATTATTGACTTGACTTGACTGGCAAACTGGCTAGAGTTGAGAGTATGGAAAGAACCCGTCACTAAACGGACGAGGTTTCCATATCTCAATTATACCAACAAACAACGAAAACAATTCCAAACAAGGCAACCAACAATTCTTGCGGGCCTAAAACAAACTTAAACCATATTTTTGACTTTTGCCCGTGTAGGCCTTAAAAAACTCCAAACAATTTTTTTTTTTTTTTTCCTCTCCTTTTTTTCTCTCTTCTTTTTTTTTCTTTCCTTTTTCTCTTTTCTGCTGGGCTTCTTCAGAACTGCAGCAACATGTTTCTTGGTCTTGTGCGGCGGTGAGTTCAGGAGGCAGTGCAACAAGGATGTGATGAGCAGCGGCAACCTGGGTGGATGGTGATTGGGTGCGCGGGACGACGGCAAGGGATCTAGGTGCAGGTGCAAGCAGGTTGTTCCGGTGGCAGCGTGGTGGTGATCTGATGAAGAAACGATGGCGGGTACGGTTCAGGCAGATGCGAATGCAGGCTGGTGGTCTGGTGCGAGATGGTGGTGCGGTGGTTTAAGCAGGCGAGGTGCAGGGTTCATGTCACAGGGAACTGGACGCAGTGGAAGGTTCAGGTTTTTTGTTTTCTTCTACAAACTAAATCAACAACAAAAAACTAGCATACAAACTGACAAATAACATACCAACCCGACCAAGCAGATTAAATCCCAAAGGATTGAACCTGCTCTGATACCAAGTTGAATATCAGAGTGCGGAACAAACAAAACCATAAACTAATAGAAATATTATTAAACAAATTGAATGCCGAAACGGCTACAAAAACCCTAACAAGCTACATTGTGAATAACTTAATTTCGAATGAATAACAAAGCACTCTATTTATAATAAACTAACCCTAAACCCTAATGCTAACGGGCTAAGCCCAGAAAACCAAATATTAAAGTAAACCTAAATACTAATATTTTCCAACAATTTTAAACAAAGCATCACAGTTCATGTAAGAACTGCAATTACAATTACAATGTGCTATATATCTATCCATCTTTGATCCCAAATCAGAGATAGATATTATTACAAAGATATCTCCACCATATCTTTGTGATAGTACATAGAGTTGTATTTGTAAATCAAAAGTTAGCATAGCTTTGGCCAGGATTAACATGAGAGATTTTAGGCTATGGCATTTTAATTATAAGTATCAGAAGAAGCATAACATAGTACAAGTTACCCCAACCTTACTATTATAGTTTGGCTATCTTGATAAAATATTTATTAACCATAGTCGCCTATTAGAATTATTCCCTAATAAGCTTAAGAAAGCAGTGCAAGATTACTT